ACACACACACACACACACACACACACACACAGAGCAAGCCTCCTCTTTTGTACTACATAATGTGATGCCATGGACAGTGACAATAATCTCCGTTTTAAAAGCATCTTATCTGAGTGGACAGATTTCTGCGGGCTGTGGGACAAGGGGGGAGGACGGGCGGGGGACTTGTATAGAAGATGGGGGAGGGGAGGACATATGTCCTGAAAGTCAGGGATGGATTTACGCCATCGTTCAATATTACTCTGCACATGTGACAAAGAGGGGAAGAGTGGTACAAAGGGAGCTGTGCATCAGGAGGGAGACTGAGAGATGAAAAGAGAAAGCAGGAGATGAGAGAGAGAGAGATGTAAAAAGCACAAAGTGGCAAAAAGGATGCAAACAAATGACAAGATGTGACAAGCGAGCAGAGTAGGTAACAAAAATAACCAGAAAGCTCCAAATGCCTCTGAAATAAAAGAACACATTGGAGACAAACAGAAAGGGATGGGTTTGAAGGAAGGGCTGAATAAAAAAAACAGAAAAGCAGAACAGATGTGGAGGAGAGAAATAACTCCATGTGACTCTAAGCTAAATCTCCCTCATTAGCATATTAAGCAAATTAAATATTCATTGAGATAAATAGAGGAAGGAAGCCATAAGCCTGATGAAACTAATTTCTTGTGGTTGTTTGTTTTCCTCATCGCTAATTGAAACTACAAAAAACACTTACTGTGGTGGTGAGAGAGAACAATTTGCGATGTGTTCATTTAATTTCTAAACACCAGATTAAGAGTCGTATCTCGACTTCTCAGCCATCCTGAGAAAAAAAACAACAAGACATGCTTAAAGCTTATAAGTTAAATAGTCAAAACGATGATTTTAACACAAGGAGCACAATAACTTTTGCTTTAGATAGCTTCGTTTTTTCTGCAGTGATTTGAACCCTTCATACATTCCATTTCACAAAAAGCCCTAACTGTAGGGTTCTTGGGGCAGAATGCTGATGAGTGCAATAACTGACAAGTACAGAAACAGACAATTGGAGAGGTTTTCTCAACTGTGCTGTAACCACAATGAGGATAAAGGTTTCCTTCCTCTAAATCCACCATGTGGCCTTAAAATACCCACAGATGCATGCAGAATGATGTAATAACACATAAATGATCAAGTGCTGAGGCATTACATACCACACATTTGCAGCGGTTACTGCACTAACCACTAAAACGTGGGTTTTCTTTTTTAAACTGTGAATATGCGAGAAGAAAACTTGCACATGTGGAAAGGCAGTGGAAAAAAAACTGTTGGATAAATTGGAGTTAAAAATTAAATAGTGACAGGAAAGAGCTAAGAAAAGCAGCTATGGGGATGAACTGTTCGTGGAGGAGAACCTATTCTGAGCCAAGGAGCAGCACTGAACTCTTGGACCTCACATTCGTCTGCTCTCACCTGGGACAGTTTGGGAAGAAAGACTAAGTGTTCTTCTATATTATGATTTAGGTGTGTGGGAGGAAGTGGCGTCTCCCATTTCATGTCCCGTCTATAGGGATGGCAATGCCTGTCGGTCGGTCCACCACTTTGTTCCTGACTGGAATATCTTGACACCTATTGGATGCAATTTTGTTCACTTTCATGTCCACCTCGGGATTAATTGTAATCACTTTGATGATCCCTTAACTTTTAATCTAGCGCCAACATCAGGTCAAAAGTAATGACACAGTACAGCCCCCACAGCGCTAAAATAGCCCTAGACTCATACTCTTGTTTTAGCATCTGTGAGCCAACAGTACGTGTTATGAGAACATGATGTGCTGTGTGTTTGACAGCTCAAACACAGGCTGACAAAAGGACTTTCTTCTCTTGTCATAGAAAAATACAAAGTGGGTCTTGTTGCCATTGCAGTGATATCAAAAGGTCTCCGCAGATAACATTTTCTGGTAAGATGCACTACGTGTTCATAATTTCCACATATAATACATTACCTTCATGGAAAGATTAACTTTAATTTGGTGAAAGATTTACAGTATGTGATGTTTAATTACAAAAATTCTCAATGAGCAACATAATTTAATCAACATACTGAATTTTTGCACTTACATTGTAATTTAAAAAAATCTAATCATGTCTCCTCATGTCAAAGAAAGACTTGAGATTCAGTGAGACTTAAATAAGGAATGCATGTGTGTCTATGTGCGTGTCCCATAACACGTCAGCAGAGAGAGTGACTCAAACTGTGTTTATCTCCAGTGACTGGAGGCACCGCTGCTGCACTGTAACACTCGTAACCCCAAAGTGTTTCCTCTCAACTATTGAGGTCACTGGAATCCATTCACACTGAAATAAACTCTTAGATTCATGGTCTAATGGATTAACACACACGCACACACACACGCACAGAAAGTTGCAAAGGGAGCTGTGTATATTGTTTACAGAATGTCTTTATAATTGCAATCTCTGTGTCTAAACTTACCTTGTCTGGGTCCATAAGGGAGCGCACACCAAAGCTCATGCAACCCAGCAGCTCACTCATCCTGTTGATACACAGAGAGAGAGGCAACACAGAGAATAAATAAGTAGGATAAGAAAAATCAATTAATACCCCTAAGTAAAGCCGATGTGTCTTCTAACTCAGGTCTGACATCTGAAATGTGTTTCCAAAAGAGTTAAACCCCCACAGCCTACACTACAAATACAAAAAAAATCAATATGATGCTTATTAAAGTGTTTTTCATCTCAGCGTCAAATTTTTCGAACATAAAATTGTCCCACAGTGCCGTATAGACTTATTTATTACAAAAAGGGTTGATCCCTGGGGGAAATCTCTGTCGTTAGAGGCATAGTAAAACATAATGAAGGAAGACAAGACAATAATAAAAAGTTTAAAGGAGTAAAATGTGATACTTGGGAAAGATATTTCATGAATGCGTCGACATATAGTGACGTGGCACAAAGATATTATCAGAGTTAGAGCAGAGTTATGGGAGTCTGAGCGTGTTGACCGAGGGGCTTGGGATGTTTAATTATGCATAGATGAGAGAAACAGTTCTCGACAACCTCCCAGCTGGACGGGACTAATGCAGCTGCTGATTCTGTTTTTGAGGGCAAACTTGCTGTCAGCACAAATGAACCCCCGAAATGTTTCCTGGCTCTGCTCAGTTGAGTGGCCCAGTGACCGAAAGAGCTCAGCTGCATCGACAGAATGCCGTGAAGACGATATTGAGTTTATAAAAGCTTGCTGTGTACCAGACTTTCCAGCTAGCGCTTCTGTGAAGCTATGGCAGAGTGGCGCTTCGAGTTACAGCATGCTAATGGCTTTCAATGGCAAAGTCAACATGCTGATGTTAAGCAGGTACAATGATTTGCATGTTCACATTGTATATTAGCATGATAGCATGAGAATTATCACTAAACATAATGTAAAGATGAGACTGATGGCAATGTCAGTAGTTAGTCATAAATGAATGTATTGGATCGGCATTGGATTAAAGAAAAGCAGTGGTCGTAAAGCAGGTAGCAGGTTCAGAGTTTACAAATGAGACAGGGATACATAATTCTCTATTCAACTCAGGGTCCAAATCAGTTCTTTTATGTGCAACAATGGGAATTTTGATTCATGTGATGAATGTTCTGTCCTTGGGTGTACGAGATTGGACTTACTCAAAAGGTTGTGATCTCAATTTCCTTGAGCAACTCGATCACAAAGCTGTCGATAGATTGCTCAGATCACTGCTGTTTATCTGAGGTGACGGAGTGCTAGTGCTTAACAGATGCTGCCCTGGTTCATTGAAGATGACGACAATATTGTCCTTGCGTGACAGAACATTTGGAAAATCCATGGTTACGTGTGAAAAGGCTCTGTTGGGATTTTAAGTAGTGCGCTAACTACATCTAAATGCAACATGGCATTGGTTCTGAGAGATTCGGCACAAAGAAAACGAAAGCATGTCAGAGTCGTTAATCTTGTAGTTAATTTATAGCTATTACCAGAAGAAGGGCAGCGTGACCACTGCTTTAAATAAATCAAGTTATTAGGAAAGCTATACTTGGACTCTTATCTGCGTAATGAAAGAACAAAACCAATATTCAAATGCATACTGCAGAAGAATAATCCTTTACCAAAGGTGTATTACTATTGGAAACATTTGTTCCTACCGGCTTTTCCCATTTAATACCAAGGGCCATTTTCTGTCAACGAGGCTTAATTGCTTACCAAAGATGAGTAAATCACTCTTAATCTGTGTCCCAGAAACTGTCCCAAAAAGATCTTTATCTTTAAAATCGTTCCATGATCTTAACTCAACCACTTCACGTAAGCCTTTCCCCGTATACTTTTCATCTGTATACATCCTTTCCAATACATGCTGTATGTGATATTTTGTTTTTATTCAACTGAAAACAGCAAGAATCATTCCAAGAAGATAAAGGGGAGCACAGTGTTTCTATGTTCAGGGCAGAGAGCTTTGAACCATACAAAGCATGTCTAAAACAGTGTTCGTCAGTATGTCTAGCATATAGCTATGCTTTTCATCATCTGTCCTCTCAATAAAACACAGCACAAGACATCTGTGACTCATTCAACCATATGTCCTCCATCCCCAGCAATGACCCTGTTTCAGCTCAAGTCTGGTGAGGCAGGGAGGAGAGAGAAACACAGTCACCCTGCCACATTCAGCCACACAAAGAAACACATGCACACACACACACACAGAGCCAAACCCACAGAGGTATGCAGCAGCATTAATTATAAAATGGTGTTTTACTGTTCTAGTGGGCAGCTTTAGTCTGTTACAGCTTCTTAAAATCTAACATTTAAAATAGGAGTTTAAATGGAAAAGAAACATCAATCAATTGTCTTCATTATGACTATCATCATCACCCTCACCAACATCAACATTCCCAGCAGGTACCTTGTTGTGGAGTCAGAGTTCCACATTGTGAAGAGCAGTCTCTTATGAAGGTCCGCCTTACTGAAAACACAAGGCACTAACTTTTATATTCACGCACTTGAGAGTATATTTGTGACTAGCTAAGAAGTGAATCTTTGCACAAAAATTTGTTTGGTGTCAACAAAACTTGAAAAGCCCAGAGAGAATCAAAAGCAGTTTATGTATAATGTTATCCGTCCTTCAGATAACGTTCGGGTGTTATTGTGGAGGATACAAGAAATCTGAACGAAGCAAAACTGCCTTCCACTAAGGGCTCAACTGAGTCTTAAATGAAACTACACCAAAATATATTCATTTTGAACAAATCTGGAAATAGTTTGCGACATTGTACTACATTTTTAATGAATGTATGAATCGATTGCTTACAAGTAAAAGGTCTGTAAGAAGACGGGGTTCCTACAGCGAGGAACCATCTGAGTCTTCTGTCTGTCGCTAGGGTCACTGTCTGGGTACATGCCAATCTGAGGAGGACCGCAAAACAAAAGTACACACAATCTAGTCTCCACAGTTCCCAAAAGTTTTTTTATTTTTATATATACAATTCTTTGCAGTTGTACATACCTTAACATAAAAGTCACACGACCCCTTGCACTCCTCCACAATGCCCCTAGCCTCCAAAACTGCGAACACATACAAATAGAACTGAATAAATTATGACTTTGTAGTCACATTAATTATGTATAGCACATCTCATTTTCAGGTGCTGGGTTAAAAATGTCCCCACGGCTCTGCTCCACGTGAAGCTCAGAGTGGCTCAGATTGTTTGTGGTGTTTCCGAATGGACTCCCTATCGCCACAAAAACACACTCGGGTTTGCTCATGTAGACAATGTGTGCATGTGTTATGAGTCCAGACGGTGTAACATTTGGAAGCATATTTGGCATATGCACTAGGCAAGCTGCTTTGGTTGAGGGAAAAATGGGCTGCCATGATTAATACGGCTTGCGTCACGACTCACGAAATGCAGGCAGAGTGGCAGAGTTTAATGACATTGATACTGTCAAAATAAAAGTATATATAGACTTATGGGCAGGTGCGGGCGGTGCAGGTACAGGTTCAGATCCCAAAAGCAGAAACACAAGGCAAGAAAAGAACATTGCAACTTTGACAAACTGGCGAGGGGCTCGTTCAATAACTGCAGTGCTGATGAAGAGAGCGGGAACAGGTGAGCAGGTGGGTAGAGAAGGTCAGGTGACTGGAGGGAAAAGGGTTCATTGCAGGGCAGGAGGGAGTGGCTGGATGTGTGAGTTAGGCGACTGAGACAGGAGGCATCAGGTGGACAGGAAGAGAACGGCAGTGGATAAGTTTGAGGGACAGAGAGGCAGAATGTGACAGCTTGCCTGATTCACATGAACTCACCCGTAGTTTTGTTTCTAGATTGAGGTATGTGCAGGAAGAATAGGAGGATGTCTGACTGCTGAAATAACGGTGAAAATGATTTGTAAGAAGCTATTAAGTATTTCCAATGACTGAGAACCCAAAAGGGAAATCACCATCACTTTATAGAAAATAGCTGCTCAAGTTGTGTGAGTAAGTCAAAATTTGATGCACTTCTTCTCTGCCTTCATCATTGCCAGCAAAGCCACTTCATAGTGGGCACTTTATCCTGTGCCAAAGCACAGCATCGAATGAGATTCCATCCTGATAGTGTTTGCTTCGGAAAAATGAGAATGCAGGACGGGGCTTAGCAAGCTTCCACATGGGGCTCAAAAACCACATGAACAAAGAGACGTGAGGCTATATGAAGACCAACGTTTTGGTCTTAGGATATTTCAAGATAAAACCAAAATATAGAGATGTAATCCCTATTTTTATAGATCTTCGATAACACAAATGTACAATTGCGGAAACTGCATGAAATACACATACAGAGCTTCAAGTGCACTTTGACTCTAAGTCTATGATAAAGCATTATTTATGGTTATAGAACATGGATGAATCATAAATAGTTTATTGGTTGCACTAATATTTCATGTATATATGTAAACAGCATCCACTGTCCCTGAAACTAAAAATATTTCACAGTCATTTTGAGGACGTAGTTTGTGATGTTGTCATACTGAGCTATGTAATCTTAAAAAAAAAGCATCCAATTTGGCATCTGATGAGTAAATGGCCCTTCACTCAGAGAAATGACAGGAGCACAAAAGACCTGGGAGAGGAGATGGAGAAGGCTTTAGTTGCTGGGAGAACAAAATAAACCACCACTTATCCTTCTCTCATTAATGGCCGGTTGTCGTGATTTGACAGATGATCTGCACTGTGCCATTTAATATTTTACTTTATATGTTGCAAATCATATGTACTATTCAAATGAAGCAGCACCAGCCACCGGCAGGCACAGACTGTATACTTCATTAAGATGAACAGGGTATAAAGTGTCTCTCCACAGCAGTGTCTCTCTTCATGAACAGCCTTTAAAAGAACTTACCGCTAACAACAAGTACTTCATGCTCCTGGATGATTGACAGCTTCAGCTGACCTATTGAATAAGAGAAAAAGGAAGGTTATGACGGGATGACAAGTATGTTGAACGTAATGGTTTACATTAAAGGATGGCTCCAGAGGATTATCGTAGTTCAGCAAAAAGACTGATTTTATGGGTTGTTTTGTCCTGGACAAGAAACAGTTCGGCACAAAGACCCTGTACAACCAGCCAGGCTAGCGCTTCCCCCCTGCTTCCAATCATTGTGCTAAGCTAAGACAGCCATGGCTGTAGCTTCATATTTGACAGAAAAATGTCAAACGATTCCTTTATCATATTTGATAGCAGGGCATTAGTGTGAAATTATTCTGACTACATTTTGTTTCACTTTCAAAAATCTAAACGACAAAACAGCTCGTGGATCCTCACACGATGTTGAACTCGACAATATTAAGAGAACTGGCAGCCGAGGAAGCACGAGCGAACAGCTTTCAAAGTGCAACTAAAAAAAGGTCACGCAGCCTCTAAGGGCCAGCAGCGTGTGTGTGTGTGTGCACGTGTGTGTGTGTGTGTGTGTGTGTGTGTGTGTGTGTGTGTGTGTTCAGCATGTTGTGGTCTGTTCACGCTGTAACATTGTGTCATCTCCCATCTGAGGACCAGAGCCCAATACCATACATACATTTTTTTTCTTTTTGGTTTAACTTACTTGTTTTGGGGTTAAGGTGTGTGTGTGTGTGTGTGTGTGTGTGTGTGTGTGTGTGTGTGTCTTTGTCCACTCTCTATCATCCGTCACTTCTTCTCTCCCTCACTCACACTTTGTCTACCCGTTTCTGTCTCTCTTCAGATTGATGATGTACACACCGTCACTTTTTCTCTTGTACACATGACTTTGTCTACCCGTTTCTGTCTCTCTCTCCTCTCCTGCGAGTCTCCTTAGCGCCGCTAACGGCTCTCGGAGACTCGTTAGCCATGTTGACACGGCCACTGCTAACATTGACTTTGTGCTATCCTAAATTAATCCTGCTCATAAGAGCACAGTCCAAAGCGAAAATGTGGGAGCCTCGTTGTGTGATAACGCTGCTGGCACTTCAGAGCTTGGGTACAAGGGATGTTTGTCGTTCCCACACTGGACTTGGCATGGTTTTGTGCTGCTGGCCAGCACAGAAGAATAAAGTGAGAAAACAGATATCTTCCCGGTGCTTCTGAACCTGAAGGTAGTTAGGATGCAGTCTTCAAAATATCAAACACAATCTGTATAAAGCTGCAGTTAGAAGCCAAACCGAATGGATGACGGTAAATGTAGAATGTCAAAACAGTTTCAGGACAGCTGACTACTGTAAGTCCAAGGCTGTAGGAAAATAACACACAACTCTGACATACAGTACATTTTGCGCCGAAGAAAGATCATTAAAAGCCGATCTATTCCTTTTACATTTAGTATTGCATGGCCCAAAAGCAGAGAATGCAAAACAATGTGCAAAGTGCTATTTGACAGGACTAAACCGTAGGGTCAAATTTAGTCAAATCTTTTCCGGCTTCTTGTCATGCTCTGCTGGGAAATTCCTCTTGTTTAAGTGGACACAACATGCTTACAACGTTGTTTAAATGTTTAAAAGGTATTCATGTTTGCGGTTCACAAGCAGCAAGAGTGGGGTTTTATTGATCCTATAATGGCATTTCCTTCATTCTTAAAACACTGCAGGTGAAACGCTGAACGTACACACTCAATACATCGCTCCGATAGATGAATACATTAGCCGTATCTGTATCATCAGCTGACAAAAAAGAAAGAAAAACATAACTACCCTGAGGTAAATATCAGTAATTTGGGGTGTTAACGATGGAAGGTAAACATTGCAAAGGTTTTTAGGAGTGAAGAGTAAGGAGGCGCAAAAGAGAAGGGAGCTGTCTTTTTGGAAAGCAAATGGCCTGTAAGAGCGGAACGCTGACATTTTGGAGGCAGAGGTCAACACCTGCGAGTGTAGGAGTGAATTAATGGGGCATGGCAGAGGAGACAGCACTGTGGGTCAATACATGCAAAACTGACAACACACCCACGACACACAAACACATGCAAATACACTCCAGCACACGTATTAAGGTACGGGTATATGGCTCTGAAATGCTCTACCTCTGAATAAATGATTCGTTTACGCATGACTACTCGATCTACTCTTATCAGAGACATTTCCATCAAGAAGTAAAGTTCAGCTGCCACAAGAAATTAAAAAGAATATTAAATATTCCTGGAGTTCTACGAATCCGGTAGACTGATGAGTCTGCCCTCTGAGGCAAATTTGTGATTTTGGACTCTATGAATAGTATTGACTTGACTTGCATACTGCTACCGATCTATTAAAGATCGGAAGCTAAAGTCCACTTCCCAACCATTGCTAGTCTCTCCACAAATGTACTGAATTCACACACTGAATGTGGCAGAGTTGCCCTGCAGCAGATGTGCTGCTGTCCGTGGCAGAATTTAGAGCAGGAATGAATTTAAAATGCGTGGCTCGTCCTGGTGAAGGACGGTCAAGAAGAAACAAGCCGTTGGTTTTAGGGAGATGCCAGCCTTACAACCTTTAGAGAAAGAAAGTCTATAAGAGAGTCTATAATTAAAATAATGCAGCACAATAGCATTTCTAGAATGAGACGTTCAATGGCAGCAGTAAAAAAATGAACGAGTCCCCTCAACAATAAAAGTATTGAGCACAAAACAGGTTATACTGAAAGACAGAAAACTAGAAAAACAAATTTAAAAAAGGATAAAATCAACTATTGTGTATAAGAAAATATGTATTACTCCGACTATGAAGGACAAAGAGACTATTTTCTAGCGTTTGCATTTAATGTTAAGTCACAGCTATTCACAAAGCTTCAAATCATAAGAGAAATTTCTTGCTACGGTAAAAAGGTATCTTTATCAGCGCACAGACATTTCATGTGTTATTGATGTTGTGAATCAATAGAGCTAAAATCACAGTCCAACATGTTATTGTCCAACAACATCAAGCTGTGTAATACTTCAATTTCCTTTCCTCTGTTTTTTGTGTTACTAGCTATTTCCCAGGATTGTGTTGAGTCACAGTTTGTTGTTCCATCTTTGTAAGAAATCAACTGCCAATAAAGCGTCTCACCTAACAGACTGCCAACTATTCCTTTAATAAATTGTGAGAAATTTGTGAAATTGTGGAAGAAAAA